GATAACTGATATTTAAAACTACATAATAAATAATTAAAAATACGTAATAATAAAGTAATAATAATCACTGTTTTACTAACTAATCAGCATTATCTAAACAAAAATCTAATTTTCTTACCTCAACTATGTAATTTTGGGACAGCCCTTTTGAAGCAATTGCACAAATTGTAGAACTTTCTGGAATTTCTTCTTGCTTCAAAGCTTGCAGACTGAGATTCACCGGAGAAGACAATATTCTCCGGCGACACATATAACGCCGGCGGCCGGTCAATTTTCACCTCTCTATCCTTATTTCTATTTTCTTTTGTGGTGTTTATAAATAATAAATGAAATAATAGTTTTTTTTTTATTGTTATTTAGTTAAAGTGTAACGATGTGTAGAGAGAGAGAGAGAGAAACAAGACGGGGTTTTTTGCTGTGTATATTTATAGAAGGGTGTAACGGCGTTAACTAACGGAATCATGTTGTGAACTGTACCTTGCGCTTGTAAGGATTGTACTCGTAACGATCTTTTTTGTATTGCAAAGAATTTTATGTTCGATTTGGGGTAGACAAGAAGGCCCCATCTACCTACCTAAATTATGCTCTGTGTTGCAAAGTGTTTTATGAGGTGATGTGACGTGTCGTGATATCATTGGCTGATTAAGTGGGTTATCAAATGATTAACATTGGTTAATTTTCCATTTATTTAATTAATTATAATTTATTTGTTTTTAGTGATAACATAATTATTTTTTTTAGGGTTTTCCTTGTTCCAAACTAAACAACATAATGGGAAAATGCTACGATCCCGTTACGAAACAATTCCGGTGGAATTTGTAACCGTCGGGGATAGTTGATCTAACGGTTACAAGCCCCAACGAAATGGTTCTGTAACGGAATTATCTAACGGTTACAAACTCCGACAGTTACATGATAATCTAACAGTTACAAACTTAAACGGTTACATGATGATCTAACGGTTAGAAACTCCGACAAAATGGTTCCGTAACGTAAGCGTGGCATCTTCTAAACATAATGAGTGATTACATTGAAATATATGGAAAATGAGTGATGCCAAACTTATAACTGTCAGCCAAGAATAGCCTAAGCAAATTATTAAAGCGTTCTAATAAAATATTAGTGAAAATATGCAAAAAGTATATGCTAAATAATAATTTGATAAATAATAATTTAATTGAATATTAATGTATACACTATTCAGCACGTGCCCTCATTTTTTTTTTTTATCTTTTCTTTTGGTAAATTATTCTAATTAATTAATTTGAATAACTACATTTAGACTTTTAAACAACCTTCTATTTAATGTGAAAAACTTTTAATATTGCATGATTCTTCATGTTTAAGCAATTGCAGAACAACTTTTAATAAGGATCTATCAACAATGGGAATTACTTAGCAACAAATTAAAAGTTAATTATTGGGATTAATTTTTAAAGGTTTAGGAGATTAAAATATATTCTTTGGTAACTTTTTTTTGAGCTGCTATTGCATGACATTTAGCTTTATTCCAAGGCTTTTAACTAAGCCAAGAAGCCTATAATTTTATTTTATTTTTTTTAATATTGTAAATAATAAATACAAATATTTTTAATAAACTAATTGCACTGATAAAATAAAAGTTGTAATGTGTGAATTGAATTAGCCATGAAAACTAAAAGTAAAATTAATAATAGACCATAGTAGTCATGGTCCATTGGTTAGCCCATCCCTATGTGTTAAAAAAGCTGCATTTGGAAGTAAATCTATCACGAGTTCAAAATCAAAACATTTCCAAATCTATCAATTGACCTAAACAATTATTTTAAGGTATGTTTGTATACAAATATATCCGTTCGAAATGATTTTTTTTCGTTAACTAGATTTAATTAGAAAAAAAAATAGTATGATTAGTTGTTAGTGTGATTTTAATTTTATATGAAAATAATATTTAAAATACAATAATTAAAATTGACTTAATGTAAAAGTATGAGAGATATAGTGTAAAGTGATAATTAATTAGAATTATTTAATTGAATGAACAGTAACTTAAAGTTGATGTAATATATTAGAATGATTGGTTGATGTTATTTAATTATATTTATAATATTAAAGATAGTGGAGTTTAATATGAATTGAGTATTTTCATATAAAACACGCCTTTAAATGGAAATTTTATCACCACGCGATGTTTCTTTTGTAAGAATGATTGCTTGTTTTAAATGGAAATTTCGACCTTAGTGCACGTAGAAATTTTATCACCACACGATGTTGATCAACAATGAATTTTCAATTATGCTGGTTAAATTCGATACTATTTATGAGATCACTATTTTATGGATTTTTTCATCATTGATTTCGCACACACGTATATATATGTGTTAGCGATGCAAATCAATGGTGAAAAAGCTCAATCGAATTTCCATTGAAATTCATAGTGGCCAAATACACAGACCCAAACATTTGAGTTATACTTTAGTCACGTACATCGTGGGGCCACGATGCTGTCTTGACTAGATCATGAGTAAGCCTTTAATTCAAATTTGATTGGCTAATTAGTTCTAATTGTTACATATATTTTAGTTAAATTCAACAATTACACAAGGATTATTGCACTTGATTTCTAAACACAACTTGCGATTTTTCAAATCGAGCCGACCTGATCCAGACCCGATCGAGCTGCAAGCCAAGCAGTTTATCGAGCCACTATAAGACGTCACATCGCATCAAAAAATTAATAAATATAAATTTATATATAGTCATTCATTTTTCTTTTTGGATATCACTTCATGTAGTAAAGAAATTTTTTTATTTTTATATTTTTGTTTAATATTAATTAATGCATATGTATATATAGAAGTTCAAATGAATATTACAAGCCCATGAGAGAACCTTAGATAAAAAAAAAAACATTTTGTGTTATTTGAAAAATTGGGTAATCTTTTAATAGTTAAAGTGCAGTTTCTATAACCAACCCAAATATATTCAGTTACTATTCACACTTTCTGCATAGCCATTTTTCCCTCCTTAAAACTATACACCATATCCCCTTTAAAGCTAAAAACAAAGAGACCCACAAAATCTATAATAAATTATGGCTCAAAGATTATAAGAAATAAAAGAAAAAAAAAATAAAAATAAAATAAAAGTGCCAATATTATGCTTTGTCCCAACGTTTGGAATGTTCTTTCTTGCAAGCAATTACATACTGTCTTGATGATCGACAGAGATTGACTCAAGTGGTAAGCAGCTTGATGCCGCTTAAATAAGGTTTCGGGTTCGAGTCCTTGTGGATGAAGAAAACCCATATTGGGAAATTCACCCACTACTGTCGGGGTAGAGATCCGGATACTGTGTTTGGCTAAAAAAAATTATGTCTTAATAAAATTAATAATAAAAAAAAGATTAAAGGAAAAAAGGAAAATAAAGTGATTAAAAAAGGCCAAATGGCGATCATAAACCTGTAAAGTAAGGGGGAGCGATGGGTCTACTCAGCAGATCTCAGTCCCAATCAATCCTCAATTCTTTTCCCAATTCCCAAGGATTGATTGATTATTGCTTTGATTATATGCCTCCTTTTTTCACAGCCATAATAAAATTATTAGTTCAAAAACTATATAATACTATACTCTACTCTACTATTTAGGCTTGTTAAAAGAAGAGACTAATGTTTATTGGGAGATGATATTTCAATTTCAAAACTCATGCTTAGACATGGCCAAAACCTGGGTCTCGCGGGTTGGGTTCATGGACCGTGAACCGGCACGGACCTATGTTCGTGCCGGGTCCATGACCCGGTTAATTGGGCCAGGCGGGATCCGTGCCGGTCAGGGCCCGATCATCATTTTTCAAAAGGAAAAAAATATAGAATAATATAAAAAAAAGGTAAATTGCACCAAATTCCTCTGTGTTTAACGAAATGTGCGCGTTTCCCTACTGTGTTTTAAAAACTGCACCAGACCCCCTTATATTTAAGTAACAGATGCAAACGCTCCCTTTTTTGAATTTCTAGTTAACGGCGTTAAATTTTTTACAAAAGCCCTGTTATACCCTTCGAATATTATATATATATTTACGATAAATTGAATTTCTCACGATATAGTGGATATATCGCGAGAAATTGAATTAAAAAAATAATTTGTCTTTTGGGTTCGAACCCAAGACCCCCCATATGCATGGCAAGCAAGCAACCACTACACCACTCAAGCTTGAATGTCAAATGTATAAAGTTTAATATACATAGGCATTACATATGGATAAATGAAATTTAATTTAAAAGTAATGTAAACCAAGTTGTAATGGATGTGGGCACTATAGCATAACCCTTTTTTTAATTAATTACCCACTAATCTGCTAAAACCGTTACACCTTAATATATTATATATTTTTATTATTTATTTTTTGGATCAGTTACTAAATTAATTCTAAATTTGGTAGCAAAATATTCAAATGTGTAACGACTAATGTTTGGAACCTAAAGTTGATTGGCACGTTCAGAGCTGTAACCGCTATATTTGGTTGCATTGTTGAAAGAAAAATATGATTAACACATATTTTTTATAAAAAATCAAAAACACAAATAATTTTTTTATTTATGTTAATTTTTTTAATATATTCCACAAATATATAAATTATTTAAAACGTTGCATGGTTAAAATAAAATTTAAATCTCAATCAATTTTGAATGATAAAAATAACTTAAGAAAAAGTAATAATTTTTATATGATAGAAGTACATGTCTAATTAATAAATACGAATAAAAAACGTGTTTTATACCTGTGCAAATGCACATGATCAAATACTAGTTATTTATTTAAAGTTTTTAAAATTTCTGGGTTCTCATTTATTTCCATTTATGTCTATACAGTCTAATTGCATGCGCAGACCTATTTCAATCTGTTTCATTGATGACAGCAATAGGCCCACTCTCGGAGTCCAGATTCAAAGTCCAATCTTCAGCCTATTTTGTAGTCCTTGCAGTCTCATATAGCATTTGTATGGCCCAAAGTTTTATTTTTATTTTCAAGATTTTTGTAATAGAAGTATTCATATCTAAGACAATTTGTATTGGCTTGAAAATGACGAGTCGTTAGTGAACTCAACTTGTAAAAAGATCGGCTCATGTCATTTAAAGTTTGTAACCTAAAATTAGTGATTTTTATAGCTCTGTCGGTTAAGGCTCGAGTTCGTTTCGTTTACTTAAATACAGATAAACGAGCTCGGCTCAATAATGGTTTGAGTATCATGAATTCCCTTGGTTCGATTCATTTATTCATCTATTAGATGTAGAATTTTTTGGCGTCCCCCATAGTTGGCAAAGTCTTAAAAAAAAAAAGAAAAAAATCTTAAATCAGCTTTTAAGTAGCTTTCGCCATCAACGAATGTCGAAAATGCGCCAGATGAACTTTCGCTAGTTGCTAGTGTTGCTTCCGCACCGAGGGAAGTTGTCGCCAATTGTGAGCGTCGGTAGGCACAAAGCGGCATGATCACTGCACAATTACATGGTAACCCACAATATAAGAATAAAAAACCTATAGGGCAACCATGATGACAAGCAACTATTGTTCCATTGTTTTGAAGATCATTTAGTTAAAAAGTCGAGTTTTGGCTCGTTAAGACTCAATTTTTTTTTAATATAATTTTACATAGCTCAACTCAAACTTAATAATGTTATCGCTCTATAAACACTATGCTAAGAAGGACCCAAATACTAATGGACCGCATCGTGATCTATCACGAATATAAAAATTAAAAAATGGATATATATTTATTATCTAGAAATTTTACCCATACAAAAGGAAACTAAAAACCAGTCCTCTTCTGCAGAATGACTTTGCACACTTGCCTTTCTCATGCCCATCCATCAAACAGAACCAAACAAAGAATCAAAGTGATTTTGACAAGTTCACTATCACCGTCTTAAATATTTTCTTTCGAGATAGTCTCTAGCAGGAAATCGGGTTTTGAAAAATTCGAGAGCTTACAATATCAGTAACCAATCATGTATTTAGTTTGGAGGTCCCAATAGATTTTCGATTGCTTCACCATCTCAGCACGTTCGGCCACCAATCTCTCTTTCCAGTACTCCTTGCAACTGTAAAAGCTAAAACGAGTCACACTTTATCTACAACAACGTTCAAACAAGAAAAGAAAAACAGAGAATAAAAAAAATCATGCGAAAAATTTTCTCCTCACTCTTTCTTCGTAAGCAAATCCAATTCCATCATGTGTACCGCGTTACGGTATACACCTGCCTGTTGTAAAAGCAAAAGTTACAATTTCAGCACTGTCAGAAAAAAATAAAATAAAATAAATAAATAAATAAATAATGTGTAATATCAACAATGTAGATTTATCCACACATTTTGTGACAATGCAAAATGTCCCTTATGAAAGAATCTTTAACACTAAAACATAAACGTCAAACATCGACGAAAGACTATCTGCAAATACCAATATCCCATGCTTGCTAAAGCAGTCCAAAGATACATGATAAAGTAAAAAATAAAAGGCTCCCAAAAAAACGAATTTCTTTTGTAAACATAGACATTTTTCTTCAAATAATGATATATGCATACAAATTAGAGTCATAAGCAAATAAACCGACCTCCCTACAGACAGGACATCTCGATTCTGGATCTGCATCTTTCGGCCCTTGGAAAATCATAACAGAAGCTGCCGAGCAGACGCACGATTTGCAGAAAAGATGTCCACATTTCAAGGCATATGGATTGAAAACTAGCTCCTGAAATTAGTAAATTAACGCACACACATACAAGTAAGCTACTGTACACATCTTAACTTAAGAAAAGGAAGAAGATAATCAAAAGAACACAAAAGAAACCATTGGCTTGTAATTTTTACCAAGCAAATAGCGCAAGTCATGCTATATTCCAACTTTACAGAATCCGGAAGCATCAACGTCATTATGGGATCTGACAAATTTAAATGGAACGAGAAGGGGTTACGATTTTCTTGAGAGTCTCCATCATTTGATTGATTGATATTCATGTAGAAAGCCCCCAGCTCGATAAGCCAAGGGGACTGTAAAATCTCCATATGCTCAGCTACCATCTTAGACTTGAATTTTCTCCCATTGGCCGAGCCATGCACCTGTACCAAGTCATTAGGATATGATAACGATACCTAATTGTAAACAAAAAGAAAAAGACATTCCAAAAAAAAACATTAATTATTAAGGCATCTTGTAGAATAAGAATGTTTCTCAAGGGGATAACATTTGCAATTTTGGAAGATTTCTAAGCCTTTCCTTCTAAATAGTTAGACTAAATCTCATCAATCAAGAAATATTATAAAAGAACTAGCGACAACTTACCTTGTCGTATTTCTTAAGTATTTTTCGCATGGCCACAGCATTCATCATAACATATTCTATTAACATTCGACACTCTTGTGCTGTAGCTTGCTGGGGACTGGCAAAACACTGGCGCAAATACGTGAAGTATCTTTGCATACCATTATGGATATGAAATTGGAGAAGTCGCCCGACTCTTTGCCTAAAGCAACCGACCACACCAGAAGCCTCATTCATCAATTCAGTGAAGAACATCTGGCCACACACTACAAACGAACATAAATAAATCATCCGCTGATTAACACTTAACCCGCCAAATATGCATTCAAGATCAAGAAATCATTACAGAGAAATGGCATAAAAGATTTGCTCATGGGAAGTATCTCGAGCTTGAAAATATCAGAAGTTTGAATTTGCACGGAAAAATACACGTTTGAATATGAGTACATTATTTATGAAGCTTCATTAGTTACTCGACGGATCAGGTGGGAGCAGGAATAAATGCCACACACGAGAAACACACGTCTACCCCATAAATTAAAGACTGAAAAAGTAATTTTCAGTAGCTATCAAAACACTAATCGTTATGGACAATCACTGAATCAGATATAACGGGCATTTACTGTTAAATGGAGCGAACGCTAATTTTGACACATCATTTCCAAATTCCGGAAACACCAGCCATTTTTTCATTGTCATCCTTCTTCTTCCTCAATAGTTGACACTAAATCCAGCTTCCAGATTCTGGTTTTCGATTAAATTTCCACTCTACTTATAAGTTTAACACTGCCATACTAACAAATGTGCATATCAACACCTCCCCAATTCACACACATACACACACACACAAAAGAGTTCAATGTCCACCTCAACACGAACCCTAGAAAAGAAATTCAAACACCAATCCATTTCCTCTAATCACAATAAAGATGCAAATTTTCTTCAAATAGAAGAAAGTTCATATGACAAAAGCTAGTAAAAAACCGGAAATTACTCACGGGGACGGGAATTATAATAGCCACACTGCGTCACTGTGTTTTCCCCATCGCCATTGCCGTCCGCACCAGAGGAAGCATTGAAATCCCTGCACCGCCTGCAACTCTTCAGCACCTTCTTGAGGTGCTTGTACTCCACGTAGCAGCATTTCGCCATAAATCTCTCTTGATTTGTCTGCAGATACTCCGTAAACGTTTCTCCAAATTTCATCTCTACTGTTACAATCGGCTGCTTAAAACCAAAAAATAAAAAAATAATAAAAATGCGATAAAATTAAAAATCAAATCAAATGCCCCAAACCCTAGTCTGTTACACAGATTGAAAACGATAAAAAGCACAATTTTTTTAGACATTAGAGTATGAATTATTTATTTACTTAATTATATTTAAATTTATGAATTAGTAAATATACATCATCAACATCAACATCAACATACCCAGTATATTCCCAACAGGTTGGTGTCTGGGCGGTCAGTTGTACGCAGACCTTATCCTTGTAATTATACAAGGAGGCTGTTTCCATAGCGACCCAAGGTGCGTTGCGTCGTTTGATATATTTTTTCTAGAAACTTCATTTTTTCTAGAAACTTCACTAATAGAAGAAGCACTAGAATTTAATTGAGTCATTTTGATCTAGTCCATTATTAGCAGTATGCCAGGAGAATTGTCAACAATGACTCTTCCAGCTCCATATGCAATGGACATAATGGACATGAATTAGTAAATATATATTACTGAAAAATAGAAAAGAACATAATAAACACTTTGAACCATTTATTTATGCTAAATGCAAAATATATTTTGCTAACACATCATTATATTGTTAAAGTGTTCATATATATGAGCAAGATATAAAACTTTTTATTTGAAGTTTGCTTTTGTGCAAATAGCATTCAAAGATCATCAAACATTCATCAACCATGTTGCAAAACATATTAATTTGTAATTTCCTGATAGAATAAATGCAGCTAACAAACAGATTAGTAAACACAGAACTTAAGGTCAATGGTTGAAAACAAACAATTTAATTTTAATTTCCTGTACACCAGGTAAAACTCTTCTATACATAACGAATATCAAATAACAGTCAAAAGTCTTATTATAATGTTATTAATACAATTGGTAAGTGAAGTTTCATAACATATGGCGCAAGCTAAGAACTTAAAGAATAGAACTTCTAATTTTTTCGACAAGACTAAATATTTTATAACTATTCGACAATTCTATTGTGTTTCATCTCCATAGAATGGCTAGGTTTTACGTTGGCTCGCCAAGCCTATCACAACCCTCCTCCTTTACCAGGGCTTGGGACCTGCTATGTTGAGACAACATAGGCGGAGTTATAACTATTCGACAATATGAAAGAATACATTAAATCATCTAACATTTTAATACCATGGCCCAACATTTCCAGCAATGCAAAAAACATCCTAAATTAATACTAACATTAAAATAGTTTCACTCAGTGTTGAGCATCAAAATAATAGCCAATTTTCGAGTATTTTATGCATAACAAAAGTATAATAGTTTATGGCCCAAAGGCATGAAGCTAGCAACAGTTTTTGTTTCTAAGGGCATATGAAAGTTATATACAACAAAACAAGTTCCTGCCCTAATATGTTGGTCAAGGCATAGCTAGATAATACACAACTAAACAGGGGGATTTGACATTAATATTAGCGTTTATTAAGCATTTTGTAACAAATGCTTAATAACGCTAATATGATTACACCAAAAGCAAAACAATACTACATTCAAAAGCTATCATAATGAAGATTGACATTACATGGTTTACGCTCAAAAATGATATTTTTTTTTTTTTAAGTTATTAGAAAATAATTTACTTCAACTACAATATTTTTTCTAATACTTCCGGGTTGCACTTCTAAACCTTATTTTGCTTGAAAAATGACTAATCTGAATGATTTTCTCGCATAGTTTGCAGGGATGGAGTCTTGAAACTTGCTTTGTGACTTTGTGAGTATATCCTGGTATGTGATTGCTATGTAATCAAAACAGAACGGTGTTCTTTTAACTCTGAATAATATTTGAGGAGAAGTTATGTAGCAATGACATTACTATTCAAACCTTTGCATTTAAAAAAACTAATAAAAATCAAAATTACAGAATTCAGAAAAAAGCAATGGATGAACATGCCTCAAACCAATGTTTTAAAACTTACAAAATTTACAGCACGTAAATGATCCAAACAGAAAGAA